AGGATGTGGAGGAAAGGGAGCCTTTGCACACTGTTGTTGGGAACATAAATTAGTACAGCAATCCTGGAAAACACTATGGTGCTTCCTTGAAAATTTAAAATTAGAACTACCAGTAACCAGCAATCCCAATACTGTGCAGATATCCAAAGGAAATGAAATCAATCTATCAGAGAGATATCTGCACACACATGTTCATTTCAGCATTATTCACAACAGCCAAGAAATGGAAACAACCCAAGTACCCATCAATTGATGAATGGAGAAAGAAAATGTGATACATATACCCAATGGAATACTATTCAGCCATAGAAAAGACAGTAGCCATATTGTTGACATTTGCAACAGTAAGGATAGAGACCGTTATGTTACATGAAGCAAGTCAGGCACAGAAGGACAAATATTGAATGATCTCACCCATTTGTAGAATATAAAAATGTTGATATCATAGACGATAAGAGTAGAATGACAGTTCTTCGAGACTGGGAAGATGAGGGGGAAGACAGGAATGGGGAAAGGTAGATTAAGAGTTACCTGGGAGCAGGAAGTTCTGCTGAGCTGTTGCACAGTAGAGTGTCTAAAGATATCAGTAATGTACCGTGCATTTCAAAAAGCTAGAAGAAAGGATTTTGAATTCTTTTGACCATAAATAAATGATAAATGTTGGAGGAGATAAATGTTCCACATGATCTAAACATTATACAAAGTACTCCAGTGCTTACATATCATATGATATCCCCCATCATATGTGCTATTTTCTGTTTTTATGCATCAGTTAAAAATACATTTAATTTAAATTTTAAAAATCATCATAATAAGTGAACATAGACCCCAGCCTTGGGCCTCTTTCCTCATCCCACCTCCTCTCCAGAGCTTTTACTAGACTTGAGATAAGGCGTCCTGTCTGACTCATCTTTCCACTCTCAGTTCCATCTTCCATTCAGCCATGTGCACAGCAGTTCTCAATAAATATTTGTTAGATTGACTTTTTTATTTCAGAGTCTATTTAAATAGGTACGATAGTTCAATGAAGAGTTAAAATCAAACTGAAAATCCACACGGTCAGCTTCATTCACAGTTCCCCCCCCGCCCACGTCCACAGCCTCCAATCCAGCTACGGGGGCAGCAGGGTTTAAAGGCAGAACTAGTCAGGTCTTCAGCTAGACTGTCCTCTAGCTTTGTGCAAACAGCCCCTAAAGAGGAGTTTTATTTGCAATTATTGAACCACGGAAGATGGGGACAGAAGAACAACAGTCAAGTTAGATTGCTGATGGAAAGCCCATGGTAATAGGAGAAAAGGAAAAGGAATGGGGCTGTCCTGGGACCCTTCAGTCCCAGGCGCTAATGGACTTCATTCCTTGGCAAGAAAGAGCAGCTGAGCTGATAAAAACGAGACCTCGAGCTCACGACAGTGAACTTAGGAGACCACACTTGTGCACATAACCCCCGTGCTGTAGCAGTAGCAGTGCACCTGGGGCCATGGCATGTGGAAAAGGGGGTCCTGGTGAAGGAGCCCGGGAGGGGCGTTCCTGGCTGAGCCGTGGTCTTACATTGGCCCACTGGGTGCTCATCTGAGTTTTTAGGTAACCACTGAAACCCAACTTGATGGTTCTAGGGCCAGATCCCTACAGATGGGAGCCCAGTAGTATTCAAATCCACGGTCCAATACTGGCTTCATCCATCTCAAAGAACATTAGGATCATTACAAGGCCCTGACCTGGGACCCAGGGTGAAGACTGGGGTCAGGGGAGAAAAATAGGTGCTGCACTATCCTTTTTTACATTGAGTCTTCTTTAGCACCTACTCCCAACATAGATGTCTATTTTCCTTTATAAAGAGTCTGGTGTTGGAGTCAAATTAATAATATTTGACATCCGTCAAGTATGCACTACATGGTAGGTACGATAACAAGCAATTTATATTATCTCATGTGATCTTGACAACATCCCTATGAGTAGATATTAGTCATGTTTTATAGGCAGGGAAACTGAGGTGCAAATAAATTTGACAAAGGTTACTGGCCAGTGAGAGAGATATGAAACCAGTTTCCCTGATTTCAGAGCCCAATTATGTTAGGAAAGATTGAAATAAATTACTTCTCCCCATCCTAAATTGCTCAGGTTACTGCAGGAGCCAATGGGGATTTCTGTTACTTAGAAATAGAAAGATGGAAAGTCTATTAGAGACCAAACTATGACTTTCCCTTCACCATCAAAAATGAAAAATAACCCTAGTTCCTGGGATAAGTCAGTAGGATAATGAAAGTTTCTGTTGGAGAATAAAACTGAGGGAGCCATCTCATTACCAAACCAACCTCACATGCTCAGCTTGTCAGAGTACACTGGACTTCCAAGGGAAGACAAGGCTTCTCACATCTCCATAATGCATCATTCAATTTTCACTGAAGAATCTTCCCCTGGAATTACATAAAGAATAGAAATTGTTCAGATTTTCTGATTTGTATTCTGAGCACTTCCCTATATAAATCCAGGGAAAAAAAATTCAGAAAGTGAACTTATATCATCTCCCCTTACACGGAAAGTCCCTGTGCTCTCTCTGCTTTGCCTGGGGAATTCGGCAGCATCTACAGCACTCATTTCATTACACACCTTGCAAGAGTCTCACAATGATAATCATTTAGAGCACCTCAGGTTAACACAATTCTTTTTTTTTCCAAGTGCTTCTGGCCACCTGAGCTAGAGTGGTTCAGCCTTCAGCATATGACTGCTTTGGCTCCAACCAAACCTCTCCACCTTCCATTTACTAAGAACTGTCCTGCATCTATGCTGCTGCCTGAAAAGTAAGGTAAAAATGCAAGTCGAATCGCCCACTGCATAAAGATGGGAATTTGTACTTGTTCTATCACAAGGTGCAGAGAGAGAGAAATGAAGCACAGAACCAAGAAGCCATCACATATGCAGAGTAGTGGCCACCACAGAGCATAAGACCTCAGGACACCTGGCCAACTCTTTTAACCACAGCTCTTTTTACCCACTCCCCTTCCTGGTACCCCAAATCCCTCCACTAAGAATGCATGTGTTTCCATTAAGAATGAAAATGAATGCTAGCTGAACTTTTTCTACATGGCAGATGTCTTCTATTTCTCAAAACAGCTCAGCCAGGATTAGGCTCTTCATCGTGTAAATGAGGAAGCTCGGATGCTCTGGTTTGTCCAGATTACATAGCTGGCAAACAGCTAAACCAGAATTTGATTGAACCTTTGAACTCCAGACTTTGGTTCCAGTGAACATATAGTTTCCATTGAGTTGCACACTATTGAGGAGTTATCAGTAACTTCACACTAGTGTAAATGAGTAAAAATCCAATCTTTTCTAAAGAAATACAATGAGATCCAACATGGTGGCATGGGAGAATGGAGAATGGAAATAAAGACTGTTCCTATGAACAATTCCCAGAGACCCTGAACAGATGGCTTCCTAGTGGCATAGGGTGAGAAGTGGGCATGTAAAGATTGGTCTGGATTCCAACTGAAGAACTCTCAGTAGAAAATGGTACCAGGAATGGGGTCTAAGTACAACTCCGGCCTTTTCACTAGAGCTGCACCTGATAAATAGAACATGAACATCACCTTTGAATCATTCTCTTCCCACACTCTCTAAGTCCAATTAGTCACCCCATCACCAATTCTACGTTTCCACCTATGCTTCAAATTTCTCCACCCTAAAATAGCCCTTTTACGTAGTTTAGATCCTCACTGATTCCTGTCAGGCTCTCATTTCCTCTAAACCATCTTATCAACTATAGACAGAATAACTAGTATCTATAGAATTAAACTCAGGTTTCTTTTCCTTGCATAAAAAGTACATTATTATTTCACCGTCCTCACCACCCCAGTTTTCAAATTCATTTCACACCAGCTTTGCCCTCCTTGGGTATAATCTAGAGTTATGAAGATTCTTACTGTTCTGTCCAATGTGACAGGCTGTTTCAGGCCTATGACTTTCCAAACACACACTATTTTGCTTGTCTGAAATGCTCTTCACATCTACTTTTTAAAACTACTTTATTCAAATGTTATTGACATGCAAAAATCTGTATCTTTTTAACAAATGTATCTTGATGAGTTTGGTGATAAGTATATACCCATGAAACCATCACCATAATCTAAGCCAAAACATATTTATCACCTTCAAAAGATTCCTCCCACGCTATTATTGTGTGTGTGTGTGTGTGTGTGTACACATGTATGATGGGAACAATTAACAAGATCCACCCTCTTAACAAATTATTAAGTATGCGATATAGTATAGTTAACTATAGGCAGAAGGTCTCTAGGACTTATCATCTTGTATAACCAAGACTTTGTACCCCATCTTAATATCTCCCCATTACTCTTCCCCCAATACAAGCCCTTGACAACTACCAGACTACTCTCTGCTTCTATGCATCCAGCTATTTTAGATTCCTCACATTAGTGGAATCATGTAGTTTTTGTCCTTCTGGTTGGTTTATTTCCCTTAGTATAATGTCCCCCAGGTTCATCCATGTTGTTTCAAAAAGCAGGATTTTATTCCTTTTTGGAGCTGTATTCTATTCTATTATATGTATATACCACCTTTTCTTTATCCATTCATCCATTCATGGACATTTAGCTTGCTTCCACATCTTGGCTACTGGAAATAATGTGGCAATGAACATGAGAGCATAGATTATCTCTTCAAAATCTTTTGAAGAAATTTCTTTGCCTATGTCCAAATGTGAAATTGGTAAATCATTTGTATGGTTGTTTTGTTTTTAATTTTTTGAGATACCGCCATACTTTTTTGTGTAGTGGCTGTACCAATTCCCAACAACAGTGTACAAAGCTTCCCCTTTCCCCAAATCGGTATCAACATTTGCTATTTTGGGTTTTTGTTAAACAAATCCTAAGAGGGTGTGATAGTATCTCATTGTGATTTTGATTGGTATTTCCCTGATGATGTACACTATTTGACTTATCTGTTGCCTATCTGCATATCTTCTCTGGAGAAACATCTATTCAAGTGCTCACTTTGGCAGCACAAATACTAAAATTGGAACAATACACAGAGGATTAGCATGGCCCCTGCACAATGATGGCATGCAAGTTCGTGAAGCATTCCATATTTTTATACACTCTACTGTCATGTATATCTAAAGAACAGATTTTAGAAGATATATATTTTTTAAAAAAGAAATATCTCTTCAATTCCATTGCCTATTTTTTTTAATTTTTTTAGAGAGAGAGAGAGAATTTTTTTAATATTTTTTTTTTAGTTATTGGCAGACACAACATCTTTGTTTGTATGTGGTGCTGAGGATCGAACCCGGGCCGCACACATGCCAAGCGAGCACGCTACCACTTGAGCCACATCCCAGACCAAACCATTGCCTATTTTTAATAGGATTATTTGGGGGTTTGGTTTTTTTGTTTGTTTGGTTAGTTTTTGGTTTGTTTGACTTGTTTTTGCTATTGAGTTGTAGAAACTCTTTACATATTTTAGGCATATAATTCTTTACATATTTATTAGACATATGTTTGTAAATATTTTCTCCCATTCTATTGATTGTGTTTTCACTTAATTGATTGTTTCCTTTGTGGTACAGAAACTTACCATTTTAATACAGACTTAACTATCTATTTTTGGCCTTTTTCTTGGTGTTGTTGGATATACATAGGGCATGTTTTGACATATTCTACATATATGGGGTGCAACCCATTACAATTTTTATTCTATTCTTGGGATTGAACATAATGTAGAGTTTCACTGGACATGTATTCATATATGAACATAGGAAAGTTATGTCTGACTCATTCTACTGTCTTTCCTATTTCCATCCCCCTTCCCCTCCCTACATTCCCCTTTGTCTAATCCAATGAATTTCTATACTTCTCCTTCCTACACTCCCTTGTTATGGGTGAGCATCCAGATATCAGAGAGAGCATTTAACCTTTAGTTTTTTTTTGGACTGGCTTATTTCACTTAGCATGATATTCTCCAGTTCCATCCATTTACCACCAAATGCCATAATTTCATTCTTCTTTATAACTGAGTAATATTCCATTGTGTTGCCTGTGCTTTTGAAATCAAATTCACGAAATTGTAGCCAAAACCAATATCAAAAAGGTCTTCCCCATGTGTTTTCTTCTAGGAGTTTTATGATTTCACATCTTATGAGTAGGTCTTCAATGCATTTTAGTTGGTGTCGTGTGTGGTATAAGGATCCAGCTTCATACTTTGCATGTGGATGTCCAGTTTCCCCAACACTGTTGAAGAGCCTGTCCTTTCTGCATTCCACTTTGTTGGCACTTTACTGAACGTCAGCTGACCGTACATGCAGGGGTTTATTTTTGAGCTCTCTATTCTGGCCACTGGTCTGTAGGCCACTGTTTTTATGCCAGTACCATTACTGCCTTGATTACTATAGCTTCATAATCAGTTTTGAAATCAGGGAGTGTTCTGCCTCCAGCTTTGTTCTTCTTGATCAAAATAGCTTTGGCTATTAGACGTCTTTTGTGCCTCCACAAAAATTTTAGGATTGTCTTTTTCCATTTCCTATTAAAATGCCATTGGAATTTTGAATGAGATTACATTGAATCTGTAGATCACTTTGGGTAGTAAAGAAGTTAACAGTGTTAATTATTTCAACTCTCAAACGAGGAATGTCTTCCCATTTGAATTTGCATTAATTTCTTTCATCAGCATTTTATATTTTTCAGTGATTGAACATAATGTAGAGTTATTTTTGAGATACCGCCATACTTTTTTTGCACAGTTCACCTCCTTTGTTAAATTTATTTCTAAGTGTTTTCTTCTTTTGATGATATGTGAATGGGATTGTTTTCTTAATGTCCTTATTGGATAGTTTGGTGCCAGTATAGAGATATGCAGTTGATATTTCTATGTTGTTTTGCATCTTGCATCTGAATTCGTTTCCTTCCATCTTGTCTACCTAGAGAGCTCCTACTCCTTCTTTAAGCCACCTCCTGCAGGGAACCTGTGCTACCAAAGCTCCTTACTTCCTTCTCAGTGCTACCTCCAAAACTTGTAGGAACTTAGAAAGTGCTTCACAATGTGCCCACCATAAGCACTCCATGAGTTGTTGGATTGCTATTATGATTTTGTTGCAGTGTGTCATTACTTATTTGTTTATAAGTTCACCTCCACTACTACCTTATAAGCAGTTTCCAAATGGGGACTGATTACTATTTATCTTTGTATGCTCACTGTCTGAGTATAAAACCCTGCACAAAGTAGGTATAGCAAGAAGAGAAGATTCAGAACAGCTGTTTATTCAATTTCCCTTCATCCCACTCAAGAGAAGGGACAATAATCTTATAGGAACCCAGGTTCCAGGACCATGATTCAGCCATGGCTACCAGTGATGAGGGTCACTCTTCCTCTGCCTGGTCCATCCAAGAAGCCACATCAAGTCATCTTGAGCCCTTTCCTCATACACATCCTAGGTAATGCTCATCATTTTTCCTGGTAGCATATGTTAAGATTTAGGGGTTCAAAGGCTAATGGGGATCCCTAGACTTTTTATATAAGGCCACATATTTATTTCAGCCCACTTTGCCAGCAAATTCTAAAATTATATCTCTAGGCAGAATCTTAGCAAAACTATGAAACAGAACCTTTTTGTTTTGATTTTCTGTGACTATTTCACTGTAGAAATCTTGTGAAAGAAACCACTATGGTGTGGGGAAGGGTTCCCAAAACTGCGTGTCCATGATGCCTTTTATTTTGTGCCCTGTGACAGCACCTTGGTCCCATCATTGCTTGCTGAGATGAGGTGCCCACCAAATGCTTGTTAATTTGGATTTTTCAGGAAGCAGGGTTTCTGTGGGCCCTGGGCAGTGCTGACACCCTCACACAAGGACAGCACGTGCCTTCAACACAGAAAGAACAAGAACACCCAATGTCTGCCCAAGCCAACTTCACCTCCTTGCTCCCCAGCCTTCCATTCCTGTATCTAAAGCAGATTTCAGAGGTTTAATTCTTAAGAAAGATTAATAATATATCAGAAACATGAAGGCAACAGGAGCATAAACTTAATGGCAAACATATAATCAATGTTTCATAATGTTTTTAGAATAGGAGGATAGAAGGTCTGCTCTGTATAATCTCTTTCCCAGACCTCATAAATAAACAATGACTCTTTTTTCCCCGTGTTCAACTGATTTATAGGGAGATCTTTAAGCAAAGTGCTTCCATTCATTACTAATGCATCGCATAATGCACTGTAATAAGTGAATATGGCCTGAGTAGGGTCGTTTAACATATTAATAAAGCATCAACGTAATTTAAAGCAACAACCCTTTCTCTTTACACAAACAATGGCTGGATGAAGAAGAGGCAGAATTAAGAGCGAGAAACCAACGTTGAAAGTATGAAGACCCCAGAAGTCTCCATCCGTCACGGCAGAACCAGCAGGAAGCGACAAAGCATCAGTTACCACGGCACAGCCCGGGAACACTCATGCCCCCAATTCCTCCCAGTGGCAGCAGGAATCATCTTTGTTTTCCATTGCAAAGTACAGACTCATCAACACAGCCAGGGTACAAAGCCTTCCTGCTGAAGGCAGCACAGGCTGCTATTTCAAGCCTGACACATTGACCTGTTGTGCACCCTTATGGGAAATTAGACAGGAGCTCTTCTCCGAGAACAGAATTAACCCCCGTCATTTAATATTTCATGCCATCCGGTGGCTCCCTAACAAGAACAAATGGCTGCAGCTGAAATGAGGCTTATTTATCCTGCGTGGGACCCGAGGGTGAGCATGGCAGAGCCGAGTATTTCGTGAAACACAGCTCACCTGAAGTCATGGTGTGCGACACGCACCGGGAAAAAAAAGAATTAATGTCCCCATTTTTCTGGTTTGGGATCACAGATAAACAGCTATTCTCCAAGCTTAAAATGGAACAAAATTAAACAGGAAAAAAAGACCTATTTTCCCCCTGGGGAGCAGGATGCAGGAAGAGAGAAAGTGAATTACATTGGGGAGGATGTGCTTTTTGTTTAACGTAGGATGGCCCCTTTCCTGGGCTTCCATTTCTGTAGTGTAGCCTCTCTTTTGCTCTTATCCACCAAAAGAACATCTGTTTTATGAGCTGGGCTTTGGCAGTCCTTCCTCCTCATTTTTCAGATGATGGACTGCCTTTGCATTGTGATTTATGGACCTCAGCACTCCCCTGGTGAACCTGTCTGGCTGGAGAATGCAGCCATTTCTGACTCAGCTGGCAGGACTCCTGAGTGTGTAAGCCATGTTTTCCATGGGATAGAAAACAGAGAGAGGATGCTACTCCCTGAAAGATGGGAATCGCTACACCAATGACTAGTTGGCCCTCCCAGATGGGTCCTCCCTTGGCAAAGTACTGAACTATTAGTGGGAAATATCCATCCAACCCAGGACTCCATGCTCAACATTCCTTGCAACTAAGTGGGGGCACATGACTTGAGTGTGAGTAAAAGTGACATGTAATATAAAGTGGGTAAGAAGCAGTTGCACCATTTCCACTGCCTTTGCCGCCAGACCCCTCCATTAGACAGCAGAAAAGAGAGACTCTGAAGCCCCAGGAGAGGACAGAGCCATAAGATGGAGGGAGCCTGGGTCCCTGAGTGGCCCTGTGGAAGGTGGCTCATTTACAAAGGTCTTTTCATGAGAAAGAAATTTCTAGTGGGTAGTGTCAGTTAATGTTATCAGGGAGTATTAGTATAGCACCTAACACTGGTTCAAATACTACACACATCAAAGAAAGCACTTTGGGAGAAAGGAAGGCAAAATCGTGAAACCAGTTTGGGTGTGGCCATTCTCAACAAACCTGTGTGCTTCTCACACTTTGCAAATCCCACCTCCCTTGCCTTTCTGTTCTCATGACACCACTTTGACATCTCTAAATGTCTTGCTACGGCTAACCATATGCCCTTGACCTCGTCTTCCACCATCTTCCTCAGTGCCCTCAAGACTCCAGCTGAAGTGCATGGTCCTCCCTGCCCATTATTATCCTAATTACCCTCTACATTCCAGTTCACTGCTTCAGAGAACCTAGAATCAGTTGTTCTAGAACTTCACAGGAATGGAATCATGTGGTATTTTGGTGAAGCTGTGTGGATCAACACTTGATTT